CGTGATTAATTCCAAATTAGCAACTATTTGTAGGAGTAATTTAGTATGTATTTTTCATATAAAATTTAATTTTTTAAATAAATTGATATTAAAATAATGTAATAAACAAAATTAAATTACTATATAATACGCAGCGTTTCGCGCGCCTCAAACTCAGAACCGTTAGCCGATAAACGACTTAGGTATAGGAAAAACCCAAAAAACCCCACTCTTCGAGTGATCAAAGGTAGCGTCCACTATATGCCGACTAACTTACTTTGATCTAATATGTATTATTTATTCTTAGTAATATTTAAAAACTTCGAAAGTTTTATAAACATAAAATTTTGTCACAATTCAGTAGTCAACAATAGATATAAAAATAAGTATTGTTTATCGACGCTCCATAAAAAATGCTATTTAGTAGATTCTTAAAAACACAGCAGCATAACAGTTTAGGTATATGATATTGTAAGGATTTATCCCATAATTTAAACAGTTACGGGCTCTGCCTGAAGTAGATAAATAAATAATAACTATTATTAAAAAATTACATCAAAAATCACAACAAATTTCCTCGATTCAGAAAATATCAAAATTATTTTGTACAGCACAGTCGCTTTGCCACGTCTACGCTCAAGCACAACAAACAATCACCACGAGGTCTATTTTAATATATTGATGTGTTTCGGGAAATATGACTGCAATTATGCAGAAGCACGAAGACTTTACGAGGAGCGCTTTGTTACCCCACGAAATATACAATTGCCGTCGGCTTTACTTGCAATATAGGTCGGACAAGTTCAAAACGCATCTGCATTTTGATTCGTAATCGAGGATAGATGTAGATGTCTATGGGTCACAGCAACCATTCAGCAAACCATCAGGTGGACTGTGTAATAGTTTGTCACAGTATCCTATAAATTAAAAAAAAAACAATCCTAAGAGGTTGTTGGGCAAACTACTACTTCGACGACGACTTTTGTTGCGTATTGGTGGGCGCTATACTTAATATTAGTAGTAACTCTTGAAGGTACAAGAAAGCTGACTTATTTTGGGTGCTTCACTGAGTTGTATTGCGAGATTTAGTCCGTCTTTTTTATACGTCCATGATACGAACTGACATGCTTGGCATGACTACTTTATAAAGTTATAGGACTTCCTTTCTGCCAACGAGTCTGTCCGGATAGGTATCAACCTCACTCCTATTTTTCAATCCAAATAGCCAAATAACAGTGCTTGTGCACTGAGCTGTGTCCTGGTCTGAAAGATGTAAAGGTCATGAGGCATTACATCTTGTTTCTCAAATGTGACAACGCATCTGTAGTCTGAATTCTTTGTTTGAAATTGGCTGCCGTCCATGGACTGCAGTAGTCACTTGCCAACAGGTTTATAATAAAAAGAGAAGAAGATAAAATGCTTACCATTATCGAAACAATACGGTCTATTAATTTCCATATTCCAAGTGTTGTCCAGCCAGTACAGTCCAATATTAAATTATTGAGAAATATGGACAAATCAAATATATTTGTTCTCGTAATGCGTAGCTTGCTTTAAATTTTTTATTAAAATTAAAACATTTTGATAGCTTCAGAAAATGTTTATTGCTATCACAGGAAGCCTTTTTTAAACTATAGGTTTTCATATGAATCTATAAATCGCATACCATAATGTGAATGCTAAGTGAACTATCTGATTGATAAACAGTATTACGCACATAAAACGTACAATGGCTTTTTTTTTAAATTTAATTTGATATATATGTTAGTATAAGACAGCGCAAAAACTGGCTGTAGGCCAGTTTTGTATACGTTAATATTTCATCGGAATTTCTCGGGGCACAATAAAAACGTGTTTACTCTTTTCCGTTTTTAATATCCAGTGATTTACTGTTTATTCATTAAATGGCTGGAATAATTATGAATTTAGTATAAACATACTTCGCACATTTTATTTTTATTTTATAGAATGATGATGCAAAACGAGCAAGCACACGGTTCACTTAATGGTAAGTGGTTGTTGCAACCCATAGACATACCAGCTTTTAATACCATATTTCCAGTTTCACTAGAAAGGGTTTCCGGTTCTCTCATTCACCTTACGAAGCACAGCAGCGTTAAGCTACTATTTTACGCTAGTATTCTGTGAGAGCGCGGTCCTTCCCTGGTCGAGCCGACCTATTCATGCTACAATTGTACTACTAATAAAACTGCAGCATAGCTCTCACACGTAAAATGTGTGGTAAACATGGTTGTTAACCTGTTTGGATTTAACCCGCGAACTTTTATTTTCAGGTGGTAATTTTTTTTCCATGTTTGAATAACGACATGGTTTATTAGTGTGCTATATCAATTTTATTAAAATCCGCTTCCACCAAAGCAAACATCCAAACGTCTTCACAAACTTTCGCAGTAACAAGTTTATGATTTATGATTAAAAAAATAAGAGAAAAGTTAATTTTTGGCAAAACCTCTACCATTACCTTCCGTATCGCTCCGCTCACTTCCGTATCGTATAAGGATTATGCTGATTATATAAATGGAGAGCGAAGCTATTATTAAAAACATAAAATACTTCAACTAAGTAAAAGAGTAGAGTGAAAAATAAGTTATATAAGTATAATAATTTTTGTACTCACGATGGTGTCTATCTTTGACCTTTGGTAATTAAGATTCACGTTTTCGTACATAGATTATGTTTATATATTTATACTAGCAAATGAAAGTTAAGATATTATTTCTTTAAGTAACTGCTTTAATAAAGTTAATAACATTTTAACATTTAATTGCTGCTAATACGTGACAGACAAATAACCAAAAGGTAACATTGATAAGTTAGACCGCTCAATATGACAATAACATTTTGATGTTAACAATCTATCATTTAAAGTAAATTTGAGCAGGGAATTGCTTAAATTTGATCGCTTAACCCTTCGCGTGCCTGGTGGGTCTAACAGATCCACTACTTCAGGGAAATGTCGTTGATCATCAAAGTTTTTAGCATTATGCATCGCGCGTCTATATATTTTTACGCTCTCACCGAATACCAGCATAAAATAGCAGCGTAATGCTGCTGTGTTTTGTATGGTGAGTGTAGAGAACCGAAGACCCCTTTTTACTGGAATCGAGGCATTCCATCTTAGTACTCAGGGGTGACAACACATTAGCATTTTGATCCTTAGTTGAGGATAAATGTGGATGTCTGTGGGCCACAGCATTCATTTACCATCAGGTACTCTAAAATACTCTAAAATATTGTAGTCCTGAATTGTCTTGGAGGCGTTTCAAAATCAAACGCACCTCTACCTGGAACAATGATTTGTACAGGCATCGAATCTTCCAGCCGCATCGTCGCAGCCATATGCGCTACTGAGCTAAGATATGCTTAAAGATGAAGACGAGAAGAAGAGCATCGACTTCATCAAACTAGCCCACTCCAGCTATTTGTTGTTTCATTGTGACTTCAACCATCCGGTGGTCGTTGGCGGTAAATCTCGTTTTAAGTAGAAACATCGGGGCTAATCTTTGCTCACTTTCGATGGGATGCTTTCGAAATCTGGAATTCATTGTAAAATCCTTCTTCCTCTATCAAGACAGCCATTTGTTACTTTACCTATACTTTAGTCCTATTTTCCGCACTCTCATGATCATTTCTTATACCCAGCTTTTCTGGAATATGGAATACTCTTATTTAAACAGTTTAATAAGTTTTAGAGAAATATGAGTATATGGATCTTTAGGAATCTTGAGTATAAAAGTATGTCCAAAACAATATATACCTTTCTAAGCATACTATTTGGTCCAGCACTTATGACGAAAGACTATTGAACAATACATTTTAACACTTCTTAATAGGCCTTTTGACTTCGTCGCATTCTAGTGTCAATAGCCTATGTTTTGCTCCATTTTAGGATCATCTTAATAGTTCATAACGGTTGTGCTATTAACCGTGTATAACATTGGAATGTTAAGCTGTCGAGTTCGATCCGCGCTGGAAATTATAAGACCTCCCTGTCTCGCTGTTTCCATAACTTGCACCAAAGTTGGATCAGAAATGAATTTTTTAGCTGAAAGTTTTCCTCTGTTCATCGCTATCCAGCGGTTACTAGGTATCATTGGTCTGTAATTGTCGAACAACTTTGTTAAAATAGCATAATTTTTACTAACTGCCAATGTTACCTGGCCGCGTTGCAAATTATAATAGCTACGCAGTGCCGTCTTTAAGGCAGGGCCCGCAGGGCCCTGGCCCGAGGCCCCGAGGTAGGCAGGGGCCCCACAATTCTGAAAATTTTCGATATACAACAACAAATTTTATAACATAATAAGAAAAATATCAAATCACACACTTGGTAAAATAGAAACAAGATTTAGAAAATTTGTTTAAAAATTTATTTTTGCACTAAAATAACAGTAATTATATACAGCTTAAAAAACTTTTTTTTCTCGATTTCTTCGCAGCAAAATTAGATATGAGTTCATCAAAATCAATCGATTTTAATAAGTCCGATTCTATACTCATTAAACTTAGATGATTCAATCGTGACTGTGACATTGTGCTTCGATGATCGGATTTTATCAACTTTAATCTAGAAAATGATCGTTCACCAGCACAATTGGTGATCATTAGGGTAAGGAATATTCGGAGACTTATTTCAATATTTGGGAATGTAGACGTCAGAAATTCTTTCTTCAGTTGCAAGTATAGATCAGGAATAAATAATTCTTCGTTCTTTCGTGTATCACGAAGATAATGTTTATAATGTAAACATTCTGATATTAAATTTTCTGCAGAAATGTCTTGATCATATTTTCTGGCAAGCTTTTCGCAGCATTCTTTTATTCCTTCGTATGTCATGTTTGGTAGAGCAGTAAAAAACTTGAAGTTATCATTCACCGTTTCGTAAGCAGTTTTTCTGGTTTTCAAATTGGAACAAAGTGAATCGATTATCGGATAAAAAATCTCTATTTTGAGCTTTTCATCTCCAGTAAATTGTGTATGTTCACTCTCTCCTTCAAAGCGAGTAAGTTTTACGCTTCTTCTTCGATTTCTTGGCTCAGATGTAGATTCACTTTCGCAGATATCAGTAAAGCTTTTTGCTTTTTCTAAAAACTCATCGAATTTATCCCTGATATCCAATAAATACAATTCTAAGGAATTTAAAAGACTGCATGCTATATACAAATCCATATTTTCTTTTTGTAAATTTTTAGATGTATCATTAATACGTGTCAAGATTTCGTGCCATACCACAGTTATAAAGACATTTTCAAATTTTGTAATTTGCTTTAAAATGGTCTTAGCTTCAAGTCTAGTCTCGTTAGACTGCGTATCATCCTTTGATAAATCATCTAGAGCTTTCGTAATATCTGTATGACCTGTGAAAAGAGCGATGATTGCATCAGCTCGGGCTGACCATCGAGTAGCGGATAAAGATTTAACGACTTTTTTTTCGTTCCTAAATATGACAATAGTTTTTGCCATCTATAAGTCGATCCTGATAAAAATGTGTACAAATTTTGTACGATATAGAAATACTTAACGACTGCATTAACACATTCAGCTGCCTTAACGCCGACTAAATTTAACGAGTGCCCGGCACAAGGAATATAATCAGCATACTTATTGATTTCCCTTATCCTGGTTTGCAGTCCTGAATAGCGTCCAGACATATTCGATGCGTTGTCATAAGATTGACCTCTACAGTCATTTATATCAATATCATTATCTTTAAAAAATTTGACTACAACCTCTGTTAAATATTCGGCATTATGACCTTCTATAGGAACGAACATTAAAAAACGTTCGATAGGCCCCTGATCGGTAACGTAGCGCACGGTGAACGTTAATTGATCTAGATGAGTGATGTCCGGCGTAGAATCCACAGAAAAAGAATAATATTTTGCCTTCTTCAACTCACTTATAATGCAAGCAAGAACTTTTTCCCCCATAAGGCCTATAAATTCCTCACAAATATTAGCTGATAAGTATGATGTTACTCCATGTCCTTTATTTCCGTAGGTATTAATGTGCTCTTTAAGGAAAGGGTCATATTCGCTCAGTAATTCTAAAATACCTAAGTAATTGCCATTTTGACTAGATCCGAATCGTTCGTTCTCCCCTCGAAAAGCGAGACCTCGTGAAGCAAGAAACTTTATAGTGTCAGTTATTCGACGTAATACTTGAATCCAATAATTTTTCTCATTTTTTTGTTGAATCGTTAATGCATTTTCTAAACTACCAGTTTCTCTTCTCCGTTTAGAATAAATAGTTAAAGTTTGTTTATGAGCTTTGCTTTGCTCATGCTCCGTAATTCGCTCTGGGTGTTTCCAATCATTAAATCCGTAAAATGTAAATTGATCTTTTTCAGATGAAAAAAGTCGACATACAAAGCAATATATACGTCCAGTTGATGGCGAATACGATAACCACTCACGCTCTACTATTTCATTATTTTGTAGTTTCAATTGAAATAATGATTTGTTTAGAGTTCTCACTTTTTGTTTATCTCCTTCTTGGTAAATCCGTGCAGATTTTGAGAAATCTTTATCCTTATTGCTGCATAAACCTGGATTTTTTTTGCAACCAGTATAATCGTAACTTCTCGTTGATTTCGCCCCATAACGCAATATCAGTCGAATAACTTTCAATTTTTTCTGACGTGCTTCTCAATGCTGCCTCCTCTGTTAAAATAAAATATATTTTTGTAAATCGCTTTTAATTGAAAAAAATATTTAAAATTATTCAGCTTTTTTAGAATCTAAATATTTACAATTTGAAACTCTTTATTTACCTTCTGTTCTATGATTTATAAGAACTTGTGTAGCTACTGATAATTCCGACTGTTCTGAAGGATTCAAATCGACTGATTCGTTTTGAATAACATTTTCCTGTAAATCAGCGGTACCTTTTGGCGTTTCATCATTTTTGCCTAATAAATAAAATGCAATGATCTTATTATCATACTGTTAGCACGGTTTGTTTCATAAATTAATTTCATAAAAATGATATTAAATCGACTTTTCATAAAAAAACTTTTGCTACATGCGAACAACAATGAGGTTATAGGACTCAATTAATGAACTAATCACTCTTAATTCAAATAATATATAGTATTACTTACTAGTAATGTCATGTTGTTTTAAAAATCCAGTAATTTTTGGTAACTTGTCTATTTTCTTTTGTTCTTCTTTCGCTTTTCGTTTTTTTGCAGCACCACTTTCATAAACACGATTCATGATTTTGATGTACTTCAAATGATTCGATAAACAATACTAAATTAACTGTTGCTACATCGCGTGAAAATCTGGTAATGAACTAATGAACCTGCTGGCTGTTTCACGTGTCGAAACACGGACGTTGACTATTCATTTTCTCACCAAAAACAAAAGCAAGCTTAAACAAGTTTCTTTCAAAACAATCGCGCTTCTGCTTGCGCGCAAGAGCGCGCATGCGTAAGAATCCGAATGAAGATTTTGGCGCGTTAGTTTGAATATTGTAATTGAGAAAACGTTTACATGGCATTATAAACATTACATTTAATCGTTTGTTTAAAGAAATTAAAATATACGAAAATTGTAAATTGTAAGAAATTAAATGTATGCATGGCTAAAATTACGGGTATTTAAAACAAAGCAAATAAGTTAATTGTAAAGTAAAAATGAATTAAGAAATAAGTTGAAATGCCAAGTGTTCGTTTGAGAAGCCATTGAGAACTGAGGTCGATCCGGAACGACGAAATATTGTAGTCCGATCTAATACAGCGGGGACAGTTTACGGCACTTCCTCGAAGAAAAACCGATAGCCCTTGTTTATTAAACAAGATTCGGCGCAGCATCGCGCTGTAGTTATAGACTTGGTATGCAGTGGCTCGCTAACCAATGCTGTTATAGGCTATGATGTCACGGATGACGTCACTTTCATATATTTGTATATGAATAAATATAAGTATTGTTCTTTGTATAGATTATAATATATGGTTTTCATTCAATTTTATTTAAATTAGAATTGGTGGGGTATTAGTTTTTTAGATTCAAAAAATTTATTTATTGAACTCTCATATGTGGGGTGTTAAGAGACGGGGTTACGATTTAGCCTATTGCGTTATTGTAAACTGAAAAATGATAAAGTTAAAATTTAAGGATTTTCCATCCCTTACATAGGCCCCAGCCAGTACCTTGGCCCATAGCCTCGTTGATCCTAAAGACGGCACTGTAGCTACGACACAAACATGTTGGCTCGAACGATGAAAAACAAATTTCGGATAGAATGTAGGCATAAATAATACATTACACTGTTATATTTTAAATATTTTTAAAGTAACTAGATCGAAACCTTTTTTACTGGTAACGGTGCATGCCATCTTAAACGTCAGGGGTCACAATCATCATGTATACTATGTACTAGATTATCATTATTTTTCTATAATAGGAATTACGCAGTGATGATCATTTTTTCATCATTCCTACTAGCCTTAGGTCAATATATCTAAACTGTTTGTTGCTAAAGTTATATTTTATATCAGTTGAAGATTACAATATTTGATATGACGTACATGTAATAATATAAAAATAAATGGGAAACCAAAATACGTGATTTTCATATGCGAAAACAATATTACTTACAAATATTATAAACTAACACAGAACAATGTTTAATATTTAATAATAATTATTATCGAAGTTATTTACAAGGTATATAATATGAAAAGTACAACGTTTCTTGGTTAGTCTAAAATCGTTTGAAGTATTTTCTTCCCATTACTTATTTTACTGCTCAAAAATTACATTTAGATCTTTTTATATTTTTAAAAGTAGCTTTTTTTTCATAGAATTCCTTAATTAAGAAATATTTTCCCTACACTTCAAGCATTATTCTGACTGCGTGAAGACTTGAGAGTTGTTTAATTTCTGCTATATAATAGATTATAAATCGAATTTACACGCATCAATAATCTTGTAGACGATATTATACTACTATGATGACGATATTATACTATGATATATGATAGATATACGTATGTTTGTTCTTCATTTCTCTTCGGAGTTTATTTGTATTAGGAGATTCTCGTCCCAATCTAGAAATTCGATCTGGGAGACATTATTACATTACTTATTTTTGAAGTTTTGGCCTCTCTAAAAGCCAAAAGATACTGCCTAGCATTCGGTTGCTTAAATAACAATAAGAATATCGACTTTTCGTTCTTTACTGTTCCTAAGGATACCGAAAGGTAAGATATTATTATTAATAGGTAGTCACAGATTTATTATTTGACTAGCGACCCGACCACAGCTTCCCAGTTTTCGATTTTTTCGCGTATAATATCAATGACCTTAAAACATTCAGTGTATTCCTGTATTAGTCACTACTTACTAATGCAAAATCAGTATATACTGGTTATTAGCAAAATACGTGGTCGATAAAAGAAAGAGATTTAAAATAGCAGTACTTCTAGTTGCCACTCTTTCGTTAACACGTTCCCCGCGCCACTGATTTATCTGTGCTTTCCATTACTGCGTTACGAGACGTTTGAAACCTCGTTCTGAACCAGAGGTTGTAGCGGCACAGGCTTAATAAACCCCACCGCCCACATGAGACAAAAATCCTTTTTTGGCGCCAAATAAGGCGAATTGTCTGGTTTTTGTCGCGATTATCATTAAGAATGAGTTGATTAATCTAAATCTGCCGCCGCCTGTAGGCGGATTATTTAGTTTAGATTCTATAGGTAAAATTGTGGGGTCTTATGTACCCCATACCGCACTGAAAAAGGGCAGTTTTTCATATTGTTTAGTGATGGGAAAAAATATCGATTTTATTTAATTGTACTTATGGATGCTTTTTATTAAAACAGGGCAAACAATAATGTTTTTGCAACCGATACATTCTGTAAGAATTTTCTTTGCTATTTTGTCAGCCTCACGACTTGATAAGAAGGTGCGAAGTTTTTCGTAGCATCCTACACCTCTCATTTTCTTTGATCCTTTTTCGAGATGATGTGGATTGTTTGGAGCGGGTTCTGAAAAAAAAACTGATAGTGTATTTTTGAAGCGGGTTGATTAGGTGTAGCGATTTATTGGAACATTTCTATACATAAGTATTTGATCGTTACGGCCTGTGTGTGTTTTGCTTTTGTCAGTTGAATTTATTTGTTATAATCCTACATAATTATTTCACTTAGACTGAGTATAATTTGTAAATATTGAATGGAAACTTACCTGTTTTTCAAATATCGTTAATTTAGAATTAGGTTTACCACCCAATTTCCCTTCATCATCATTAATATTATTAATTAACTTTCTTCGGCAACGTTTCGACATCTTATTATATCGTCGCGGGTGCAGCGTTCAACGTTTTGCACAACACTAACCGCGTAAAGCTAGCGTAGGGTACGGTACGAGGTGTGCGAGGTACGAGGTGTTCGCAACCTCGTAACGCACTGTTTTAAACTTTAATTTATTCAGTGCGGTACGAGGCCTAAAAAATCCGGTATTAAGGTAGATATACCAAAAAACTCGGCATCAATAGCACATCTCAGATATATAGTTATCTCTTTCCTAGACTGAAGCAAACGGAAGTTACGCCTCTCGCACGACAGAGAAGTTTAAGTTTTTCCTTACCGCTATAACGACGAGACACGGACGAGGTGTTTCAAGCCTCGTTTCGCAGTCAACGTGTTAATAATGCTATTGCGTGTCGCATGTTTTTAAATAGCAAAAAAAATGTGGAACAGAAAATGGCAAGTAGGTAAATTATCTGAGTTTCAAAAATTGTAATTCCAATCTTTTCTTCGTACTTTTACGGGTTTAGGGCCGTCAAAAATGCCGTAGTTACGTAGAATTACCGAAAAACCGAACATCAGTACGAGTTTCGCCGAAATAAGTCAACTAGGGGCCATGTGGCGTATAACACTAACATATCAGCTGAGGCTCTAGAATACATCTGGGAAGCACTTGTTTCTCGAATATTTGTTTCAAATTTAGAATAGCCTTAGCTATTAATCGCTTCGTTATCTGAATGTACTGAATATCGAATTTAACGTATTCGAATCATACGATTGGCTTCGTTTTCGTAATGCGTACAGCAAGGGATATCTGTCTATTAAGACTATATTTTCGCCCAATTTCAATATGGATGCCTTCAAAGCAAGAGTGAATACTCATATTTTGTTAAGGTATAGGATACAGTGCAATTTACCGTCTATTTCTTCATCACCACTTACCATCAGGTGGGATTAACTACGCACTAGCTTTTACTTAGTACAAAAACCCACTGCATTCATCACTAGCATCATCATCATACAGCCTGTTACAATACCACTACGAACATAGGCTCTCTCCAAATAATGCCACAAAACCTGAGCCACATGTGTCCATGCGTCGACAGGTCGGTTACTCTATTTAGTGACGGACCGTCCTCACGTGTCACTTCTCTGAGACTTTCATCCTCATCGGTTGCCGGTTCGTTGAGCTATATAACCGGCCCATTGCCATTTTAGCTTACTGACCCATTAGGGCTATGTCAGTTACTCTAGTGCCACTGAATACGCAAAGAAACTCTAACCTCTCAATTCCATATGAAGTGGAATGGGTTATTCAATCCTATTTTTAAGGTTTGAGGAGTACTTGACTAGGAAATCTGTCCTAGCTCCCAAATTATACCCAACCAAGTTGTATTTGTTGATTGACCTCGTGATTGAACTTGTTTAGTCGGTTAATTTCTTCTAGGCGAAACATACCTACTCGTCGACAACGATGAACTTAGTTAGCATAGGTTATTTCCTGTTTTTTCGGTTTTAAGTACCTGCGGTGAATTAATAGGAACCCACATGGCTGGTCCGAGGTGAAGGGCCGGCCTGAGATAGCCACTCCGAGTGGGCTTGGCGAGCCCATTTCGTATATGTGTCAGTGAGCTGTGGTGAGAGAGGTTTCCTCTCCCCCTACTGCTGCAACCGATGTGGAACCGCGGAGAAAGAGGAGTGTTTGAATGGCGATGCGGCACTCGCCCTCTCCTCCGCGACTCTAACTCGCGTTGATGTAGTGGTGGTGAAGCTGCGGGGGATGAAGAATGTCGGTGTTGCGAGGCGCTGCTCTCCCTACCCTCCGCAGTCAAATCTTGGTTGGTGGCGAAGCAATAGATAATATCCGTTGCTGGGGTTGGTAAGACTAGTGCTAAGCTTCTTAGTGCTCGTTTTTCGAATGCCTGTAAACCGTCACACGAGAAAAACTTTAGACAACCTTTCTCACCACTAATAAAGTTGTCGAAGTTTTTCAATGTCGTGAATATAAAGTATTTCTGATAGACCATATACGTAAGAAAAAGTGGCAGATTTCGGTTTTCTGTCCAATGTGCCGAAGCAAATGCATATGGTACGGTACTAAAGTGTTTTCAGGAACTCGTTTATTTAGCAGGTCAAATTCTGTGTACGAAGCGATTCATCGCGTGGCTTGTAAGGAAAATCGATCTGGGGTCCTTTAATCACTTTGCCATAATTTTCAAAATTCAAATTATGTATCTCAATACCTGTC